TTTCATCATTGCAAAACTTGATCTTTGTGAGACACTAGAAATTCTTAGTGAGTTATACAATGGTGAAGTTCATTGAAATCCTAAAACAAATAGTGATCTCTAGGTTCAGAAAATGATATTACTCTAAGGTGAGTGAGTGGTTAGAGTAGAGGTCTGAAAATGTTTCTGGAGTTTAAACGTGGTTCTTAAATTGGTAGTGTGTGTGTGTTGGTGGTAGTGAGGTTTTTAAATACTACAATGATGAATTATCAAATAAGAATTTATCGCCTGGGTATAATACCACAATTTCAACACATAATTGGAGAAACTGCTGAATTCTAAAGTCCATGGGGAAGTAGGGAAATTCTGGGATGGAACTAAGATGAAGAACAGGGCTTGGCCCTTCAAATGCCGGACAAGCAATCACATAAACATGATTTTACCCTTTGATAGTGTGTCAGCAAATTAACTTTAAACATTCTATTTGAAGAATGTGTTTGGCATAGAAAGACTGCTTCCCCTTTCTCATATCTATACTTCTATTCATAATATCAAAAAAGAGAGCAATTCTTGCATCCTCTCCATAGATAATTCATTTGTTTTCTTCTATAATATACCTTACATTAAGGAGGACCCTGAGGTGGAGAAATGTGTACCTACTCCAAATCTTACTCAGGTTGAACCCATCCTAAGAAGTATAGAAAGTCAAAATAGCAAAATGCTTAAGAGCAAAGGCTTTGTATTAGTTCCTGCAACTATCCCAACAAATTACCACAAACCTGATGACCTCAATTGTTCAGTTTAATCCTGGGACCTGTTGGAACTACAGGTTTTCTGTTGTAGCTGCAGGCATTGATATCTTCCAAACTCAGAAAAAAAATTCATTAATGCTGTTTTAAAATACTTTTTAAAGATATGAAACAATGTATAAAAGTATTTTCACATGCATTCTATTTGGATATATGTATCCCAGAAGAACTAATTTATACAGTTTAAAAACAAGTACAGCACTAATAGAATATATGCATATAGATCAGATAGCAAGTTATCATTTTTATGTCTTTCCTCTTCTGCTGAAAATTATGATTCATGCTACAATGAAAAATGAATCTTGGGCAAGACACCCAAGAAGATAACAGTGAATTCAGTCTTATAAAGGGTATCTATCACCTTCTCTGATAGAGAGTATCAATTATACTTGGAAAAATAGTTAAGTTATATTCCCTGGCCACTTAGAATTAATTTGCCTCCCTTTGATATCTCTTTTTCTTTGTCCCATAATATCCTACTTTATTCTCTGTATAGCACTATTGTTACCTTGTTCACTTACGTGTCTATTTACCTGCCTCCCACTATTGGGATATAAACTGTATATGAATCTTGGTCCTATTCCTATCAGCATTCCTATCACCTAGAGCAGCACCTGGCTCAGAGAAGGCATTAAATGAATATTTATTGACTGGACAAAGAAATAAATCAAATAATTAATTTTTTAAAGTATTAATTTTACAAAATTTTGACAAAATTCTAGGGAGTAAAAAATACAGATTGGTGTTTTATTCTATAGAAATCTATTATTAAATCACTAATCTATTATTAAATAACTAATATTTTATTCCACTGATAATTTCAGTAATCATTGAGATACACAGAAGTGCCTCAAATGTATAATTTTCCTTTTTTTATATTTTTTATTGATTTATTACAGAGAGGAAGGGAGAGAGATAGAGAGCTAGAAACATCGATGAGAGAGAAACATCGATCAGCTGCCTCCTGCACATC